CATTTGACAGATGTAGAAAGGAATAATAGTAGAAAGTATCTACTTGTTGCCTGGCAGGTGGACTCTGAGGTCATGTTCATATCTACTCTCTGACAGACTTCCACACTGTAGCCTAACTGGGACTTGGAAAACAAATAAGATAGGCTGGAGGTAATCCTGGAACTGAAAGGTTGGAGGGAGATTGCAAAGGAATCTATTTTAAGAATGAGCAGGTAAAAATTAATTATTTTTCACCAAATATTTATTAAGTACCTACTGTGTGTTAGGCACTGCTCTGTTTATTCAACACAAGTTTACTGAGTGCCTACAAACAAACATTAGGCAATAATCTTTATCCTTCTAATGGGGCTGTGGGTGACAAATGGTTGGCAGAATAAATAGACAAAATACATTGTGTTTTATAGTGATAAGGCTCGTGGAGGAAGCATAGTAGAGAAAGGTACAGGGAGTACAGGAGAGGAAGGAAATTATAAGTAAAAGATGATGCCACATTTGTGCTGGAGTAACTGGGTTGTCAAGTTGCCAGTGCTGAGATTGCAAAAGATAGAAGAAGGAGTATATTTGAAGATGAAGCTTAGGAACTCAATTTTGGACATGTTATGTGTTGGATGCCTAAAAGACATTCAGTGGGGATGTCAGGAAGGCAGTAGAATTTCAAGGGAGATGTCCAAGCTAGAGCTATAAATTTGGCAGTAACCAGATGGTATTTAAAATCATAAGACTGCAGGGAAATAAATGTGGATCGAAAGGGAGGAATTTTAAGGACTCAGTCCTGTGGTATTTACAGTGACTTACCAGCCAGCAGATAAAAAAGAACCAGCAAACAAGAGTGACAAAGAATGAACAGTTGAGGTAAGAGGAAAACCAGGAGAATTCAGAATCCTGTAAAATGGAGAAATCATTTTGAGGGCACTTTGTAAAATTCAGACTCAGACATACCACCCTAAAACTCATTCTTTTTCTCTCTCTCTTACCCTCCTCCACCCCACTTTGATTCTGCTGGTGTAGACGGGGCCCAGCAAGCAAGTGATTCTGTTGTAGGTGTTCATCGACCACACTTTATCAAACATCAAATAGACAAATGGGGTCTGTGGCTTGTCCAGATGGTTCAGTGGTAGGAAACAAAGAATAGGGAGCTGAAGGAGAAGTGAAGGAAGTGAAGCTCAGGAGAGCAGTACTTACCAAGCGGTGGGTTACCAAAGCTGGACACAGTCGTTGGCATGGCTGGTTTGAGGGAACTAACTTAATTGGGCCCTTTATTTACTATAGTTAATGAGACAGTTCAGTGTGTAGGTGGGGGGTTGAGTGATTGCACGTGCCAAGATAGAACATATGGGACTGGGAGTCAGGCAGACCATGCTATAGAATTTTTCTGCCAAATCAATATAAAACCAATCCCAAATCAATGGAACAACAATCAAACTGTGTGTTCTACTAGCTTGACAATCTGCTCTAACTGGTTTACACATCTGCTGAGTTATATGAAGAAGACACTGAGCCTTTTTCATCCATGCTGCCCCACTCTTAGCAGAGTGTCTGACACTTTGCGGGCTCAGAGTCAGCATCTGCCAAGTGCACGAAGGTGGACCCAGCCAAAGAGGAGTGGACATGTGGTATATTTATGGATTTATGGAGATAGCTCATTCCCAAATACTTACAGGCTATTTTTGTAGATTTCATAAATTCTTTGTTTTTTATATGCTGAATAGGTAAGGTTGAACTATCAGTTCTGGAAGAACACTGTGATTTGAGGTTATGATTTTTAAAGTTATCAATACCTCTTTACAAAAGTGGTTAGTTACTGAGGTTATGTCAACTCCAACGGCAAATCCTTGACAGCCCTTTGATTGTAGCTGGCTTCTCCAGCCACTTCAGTGTCACCTTGGGCTAGACGCCTACATAGCCTGAGGCAGGGGAAACTTTTGTAAAAGAAAAAAAAAACATTATTAATGAGATTGGTGTCAATCTGGACACCAGTGAACTAGGTTCTCAGTTGCCCCTCCCACACAATCTGCTCAGAATAGGGTATTTTATGATTCTAAAACAGAGACATTTTTTTTTTCTCAGCTTCAGGCCTTAAACATGATTTGAATTTTGAGCCATTTCTGTGCATCTTGTGGAATAATGACATAGTTTTGAATCTGCTGCTTAAAGGAGCTAGTGTAGTGCACAGAAAAACAAAGACACTCTCCATTTCATGTAGGGATGCAGGATATTCCCTCTGTCTCTGTTCTCTTCTTGGAGACTTCCTTCTCCTAAGAGGGTTTCCCTCTAAAGGTTTCACAGAACATTTTTCTAATTACCAAATGAAGAATTTTGTTGAATACACTAGGTTCTATATCCTGAGTTCTTATGGTTTTCTATGTAACAGTTTACTGTCTTGACTACAATCTTAATTTTGCTCTCCTAATTAACAGAAGTCTTCTAACAACACTTTTGGTATCTGTATCCCTGAAATTACTACATTTGATAGAGAAGAGATAGTTATTGTAACCAGAAATTATTTACTATGAACTGATATACTTTATTATAATTTATTTATTTTGAGAGAGAGTGACAGAGTGAGAGCGAGTGAGCAGGCACACACAAGACAGGGAAGGACAGAGACAGGAGAGAAAGATCCCAAGCAGGCTCCATGCCATCAGTGCAGAGCCCAATGCGGGAGTCAAACTCATGAACTGTGAGATCATGACCTGAGTTGAGATCAAGAGTCGTATGCTTAACTGACTGTACCATCCAGGCACCCCTTTTTATTCTTAATTTTTTTTCGTTTAATAAACTTTCTTATAAAAATTAGTTATCATTCAAATGTCCTCTTTGCTCATTGCTAGTATCTCTGGCCCATTATTCTAACATCTTTGAAGATCAATCTCTTAATAGAACTTAGGGCAGTACAACAATGAATGAAAACTAAATGATTATAAAGTAAAAATATAATTTTCACAAAAGTTACTGGATAAAGCATATGCTAGTAATACTGACAAATTACTTAAATTGGAACAAAGCTATTGACAAGCAAGGATGTGGAAGTTAAACCAGAAAACAAGAAGATAAAAATTGACGAGAATGAGAACAAGATAATTATTTTAAAGAGGATGATTTGACTTTGAAAATGTTATAAAGAGGACCTTGGGAAAATTAATGAAGCCCTTGAATACATCTGTGTAACTGACCCTTGTTTGTAATCATGCTGTGAAAGGTAAATGCAAAGAGAAGTTCTGTGGGGCTATAAATTTAAAAAAAAGAAAAAAATGAGTCCTGCCCTATTGGTACATTCATAGTTTATTTTAAGAATCTAGGGGGTGCCTGGGTGGCGCAGTCGGTTGGGCGTCCGACTTCAGCCAGGTCGCGATCCGTGAGTTCGAGCCCCGCGTCGGGCTCTGGGCTGATGGCTCAGAGCCTGGAGCCTGTTTCCGATTCTGTGTCTCCCTCTCTCTCTGCCCCTCCCCCGTTCATGCTCTGTCTCTCTCTGTCCCAAAAATAAATAAACGTTGAAAAAACAAAACAAAACAAAAAAAAGTTTTAAAAAAAGAATCTAGGATAGTTTCAACTATAATATAAATCTTTTCAACACAAGATAAAAATTAACATAGTATTTTTGGTATTACTTGTTCAATATAAAATCTGCATTAAACATTTAAGAATAGTTACAAAGTTTTGGTTTATCATTTTCTATGGTCTTTATGTGGTCTTTCTCAGTTCCAGTTATCCTTGGGAAGCAAACTTCCTGTACAGTTGACTTTAATTCACTAGTATGCTGTTCGTCAGGGGTATTTCCCTCTCACTCTCCCTCCCATCTTTGTCACACAAGTAAAATCAATTTTAATAATATATTTTATTTAACTCAATATATTCAAATATTATAATTTCAAAATTTAAACAATGTTTTAAGGAATGGGTACCCAGGGAGCTCTCTTGTTTTTCTCAGACACACAAGCAGGTTGGCAGGAAATAGGGGCCAGTGGCACGTCCTGCTGGTAAAGAGTCCGTGCTGGGTTAGTAAGAGCGTGTATGAACAGGAACACAGAAGAGGCCGAGATGATGGGTGCAGGTGTTTCCCTAGATGTGTTCACTCTGAGTACAAACAGCCTCTCACTGTTGTCCAAGGAGGTAGTGGGAACCTGCCAACAATGCCCTGGGTGTGCACATTAGCACTACATTCAAGACCCTGAGAAGTAGTAGGTCAAGAACCTTTTTAATGCAGGCTTTCTTTTTTTTTATTTTTAAAATTTACTTATTTGAGAGAGAGAGAGTGCACGTGCGCACGCAGAGGAAGGGCAAAGAGATAGAAAGAGAATCCCAAGCAGGTTCCAGGCTGTTGGCACCAAGCCCAATGCAGGGCTTGAACCCATGAACCGTGAGATCATAACCTGATCCAAGATTAAGAGTCGGGTGCTTAACCAACTGAGCCACCCAGGTGCCCCTTTAATGCAGCCTTTCCAAAATGTATATATATTTCCTCTAGAAAACAGCCCCTCTTGCCACCTGCTTACACATTTTTGGATTCTATCTCTTCACGTACCCCTCTTTTTTATTTAATATCTAGTTTTATTTGTTACTCAGAAAAATCTCATTTTTGAATAAACTCAACTTTAGAGATGGAAGCTCTCAGAAAGGACAACCTCAGTGTCTTGGAAATCTGTTCTGAAGATTTCCTTTGGCTTCCTTTATTCTCCTGGCCAAACTTTTATCATATTTTGTAGCTTCTCTCTTTTTTCAGGATGCTGTTTCTTCAGAACAATGTAGCCAACATTTGTGTCGCAGGACATGTGGAAAAACAATATGCCGTGCTTTGGTCCTAGATGTCTTACCTTCTTTGTCTTGGGGATTTTTCACAAAATGCTGGCAGATATTTTCTTGATTTTTTTTATGGTGTATTAATTTTTGAGAGAGACAGGCAGAGTGCGAGTGGGGAAGGGGCAGAGAGAGAGGGAGACACAAAATCTGAAGCAGGCTCCAGGCTCTGAGCTGTCAGCACAGAGCCTGATGTGGGGCTCGAACACACGAACTATGAGATCACGACCCTAGCTGAAGTTGGATGCTTAACCAACTGAGCCACGCAGGCACCCCTGGCAGATATCTTCTTTAGAGGGCTTAAACATTTTGTGGAATCTGCTAGCTCATTCGGGCCTGAAGCAATAAGACCCAGTAACACGTGATCAAAGGGAAAATTATTGAGATAGTTTACATTCTTTCTTCCACACTTTCTTCCACACTTCCACTTTGAAATCTGGTGTTATACTTACAGTACATCTCAATTTGGACCAGACACATTTTAAGTTTCCAATAACTATGTGCTTAATGCCACACTGGCATCAGTGTGGACAAAAGTATTGTTCTGGGAAGTGGAGATGGTGGAGTCAGGGAAAATGATTAGAGTCCTTGCAAGAAACCAGTCCAGAGAAGATAAGTCCTTGAATTAAATAAAGCCAAGGCAGTAGGGATGGTAAGGAGGAGACAGAATTGACACATAAGGGTTGGTGAAATGTAATGGAGAAGAATGTGGGTTCTGGAGCCAGACATGCTGCTTAGAGTCCTAAGTTTTACCTCTCTATAGCTGTGTTTCATGAAAGTTACTCAATCCATATATCTCTTGTTGGGTCACATATTAAACATAGTAATAGTAATATGCCTACAAAGTAGGGAGGTTGTAAGGGTTAAATGAATTACTAAATATAGAACTCTCAGATGACTGGCACTTTTAAGCATTTAGTATCAGATTATCATGATTTAAGTTAATAGGACTTGGTGATCAACTGGATGTGGCCAGTGGGATTAGGAAAGCAGTCAAGAACTCTTGCAAAGCCTAGACTGTTTTTTCTTGTTGTATCTAGAAAAAATGATTCCTAACGACCCTTTATAGAAGTTCTAAACCAGTGCTCCATGTGGATCTTGCTTGTAAGTGGATCCTGATGACCAACACAGCACTGCCTTTCTCTTCCCAAGACCTGTGTCTCTGCTGGTCCCTGTGAAGGAAGAAGAAAATTTCCTCTAGCCAAGATTCTTCTAGCTGGACTAAGAATTTTCTTTACATTAAACAGATTAACAGGAAAAAAACTCCAAAGTTTTATTATGCATGCATGGTGGCCCAATATTGAAACTGGGGACTAAAGAAATGACCAAGGTAGGCAGTTTTCATACTGTATAGATGAAAAGACAATAAATCTGTGAGGAATTGAAAGGACAAAAAAACCTTAACTTTGGGAGCTTCAATTAGTAAGGAATTCTAAGTGGAATTTGGGTTGAGGTAGTAGATTAGTAAAAAGTAAAAAGGTTTGTTTATAAAGCTTTCTCGGCTGTAAGGTCCCTATCTCTGGTGATGAGGATTCCTTTTTATTAGCAAAAAGAGGGGACTTTTAGTACAGGAGATTTATTTCTTGCATTCACAGGAACAGAGGAGGGTCCGAGAGTCCTCGGACAGGATGTCTTTTAAGTAACTTTTATTTAAAATAATATGTCAAAGTGGCACATTTTAGGTGGCCTGCCCTTGGCTTTACATCCTTCTGCTAAGAATGCACATCCACCAGCTCTTTACATTGTTGGCTTATGACCTATTCTCTGGTGTCAGCTCAAGATCTCAGGTCTTTAAAGAGGACTTTCTTGATCACCCTGCTATATCTCAGCCACCTTCACACCTCCTACCATACTTCGTATCTATCTTGCCTTATTTATGATCTGTCTCCTCAACGAGTTATAAGATCTGTGATATTTATGATCGCTTGTCTATATTGTTTATCACTGCATCCCCACTGCCTAGGAACAGTCCCCGGCACAAAACAGGGGATCTAAAATGATGTGTTCAATGAATAAACAAATGCTTAATTTTTTGTGCTTTTGAAAGGTAAGAAATAGATTAAATTCTAGAACATTAGAGACAGCTGGTAGGGTGTAGGGAAAATCTTATTTTGTTGTTTGGACGTCATTTTTTTCTTTTATTAACATACTGGTGCCAAAAAGAATAAATTTAAGACTCTTGTGGTTAAGGTGTAGATTATCTCAGCACTGCATACCTCCATCATATAAGATCATGAAGGCACAGACAATATGGGAAGCTCTCGTGGTCCAAAATTCATATAGTCCAAGCATCTGTCTTTTCCACATCTGAAATCAATTCTAAAGAGGCAGAGTGACCCTAAGGCATAAAGTGAGTTAAAGTAAGGATGGTGAATTTAAAATCCAGATCTCTGGGCTCTCAAGCATGTGTTAATTATATATCACGTTGACGTTAGTGTGTTCATGTATCTATATATGTATATTCAGAGACAGGTAATAATAAACTATGTTGGTGGGTAACTATTACTAGATTTTGTAAGGCAAATTTATGTAAATTTTGATAAAATACCCTATTGAAGTGAATGTAGAAGGTTTTAAAAAACTCTTCTTCATACTGGAATTTTGCTATTTGATTGTTGCTTAAGAAGAGCATATGTTTAGTTTACTTAAGCAAATTTTTATTGCAGGGATATTTTTGCAGTAATAGTGTTTGTTGAAATATATTTGACTGGTATTGTTTTATTCTATTAAACTGATGAAGTCAGGTAAATTTACTCTATTGATTCTAGGAAAAAATCTAAGTTTTCACTTAAAAGCTTTTCCCAACTTAAATCCTGTTTCAGCAATCATGATAGGAGTGCATAAATAATTTGTGGCTCAAGGTCTGAACTTCTTGTTTTCTTTTCTCTAACTTAAGTTGTTTTTTATTGGAGTCCTTTGGGGAATCAATTGCCTAGTACCTCTAAACAGTTTTTATCTCCATGTAGACAGACTTAAGCTCACCAGGCTTACTTCAGGTCAAATGGTTTTGAAATGAATTAGTGACCTGAGAACTGGTTAAGTAATTTGCTATTTTGGCCCAAACCTACTTTGGCATCTGTAACCACTATAGGTTTTGCATCATTTCTGAAGTGCTCTTTCTGAAATCAGACTCCATTTCCTCTGGTGTTGCCCTACAGTTGAAAGAGTTGATTAGCTTTTGTTAGGTTATTATTCATCATCATAGTAACTAGAAATGAAAATCATAAGAAGCTAGAAATGGTTATGAAAGCCCATTAGACTGATTAATCTCATTTTTAAAACTTGGGTTAGAAGAGGCACATTTTTATTGCTGTTCCTTCTCAATGCAGAATTGTTTATGAAGTATTTTCCTATTCACTCTTATTTTTTTACTCTTAAGCCTACGGTAACTGTCTCTAGCTGCTACCTTTTTCTAATGTTCACATGAAAGTTTCAAGTTTGTGATATGATATTACCTCATCATTTAAATCAATAAAAAATTCCCAAGTACGGAACATTATATTAGGTATTAGGTAAATGCAACGTATGAACAGGGTATCAGCAAATGATGGTAACTTAAGGCTGATGTACTCATATATTACTCTGAGAAGTCAGGAGGAGAAATTTCTTTCTAAAAGGTTGGACAATGAGAGGTAATGATGGCAGGCTTTATGGAGGAGGAGGTTGTGTTGGACATTAAAGATTAGGCAAAGTTAGAATCTCATGAATGGGTGGATCAAAAGAGTGAGTAAAGATTTAAGGTAGGAAGTCCTGTGAAAATCGACTAATAGGATATGGTCCTTTTGGCTCATAGTAGAGCATAGAGGATGAAGATCAAGGTGAGATGAGTCTGAAAAGAGAAGTTGAAAGCTGGTAGTGAGATGCTTGAATACCATGTCCTCGGGCATTGTTTTTTTTTCAACTTTTTTTTTTTTTATTTATTTTTGGGACAGAGAGAGACAGAGCATGAACGGGGGAGGGGCAGAGAGAGAGGGAGACACAGAATCGGAAACAGGCTCCAGGCTCCGAGCCATCAGCCCAGAGCCTGACGCGGGGCTCCAACTCCCGGACCGCGAGATCGTGACCTGGCTGAAGTCGGACGCTTAACCGACTGCGCCACCCAGGCGCCCCTCCTCGGGCATTATTTAGTGGACTGTTGAAAGCCAATACACTCTGGGCTGATCCATTCAGTTATTTATGGTGCTGTTCTATTTACCTGACATGTCCTTATGATTTCATCTTGCTCAGAGGACCTTAGAAGTATAAATATCTCTTAATAATGATTGGGGAAAAGATTAAAAGGAAAGATAGAGGTTATATCGGACTTGCACAGGAATTTACATCTAGCCTTATCACCAGTTTGATTATTTGGTTTATACAGAGTGGACATTTGGGTTGAATCAAGAAGATAAATTTGACAGCAATAACTGTCTTGTCTTGTATTTAGTTCATAAAAGTCAGTTGCACAGTGCAGGATAGGTTTGACAGTAGACCATGGGAAAAGAGAATTTATTTGACCATAAGGTAGATAAGGAGTAACGTGACTTCTAAAAAAGACAACAAAAACATTCAGCTTGCAGAGAAGATGGGAGATTAATTAAAATGAGTACTATATTTGTAAATGATTTGATGGGAGAAATACTAAAATTTATTCAAAAATCTTTGCTTACACATATTCACATATGATTTTAGTGACATGTATAGGTAAGAGTATAGAACTCCTTAATGACCAGTTTATAGTGAACTGATTTGTTTGACCTAGTTATGCCTACTGAAGGAGAGGAGGTGTGGATCTTGGGGGGGGGGGGGGAAGAAAAAAAAGAAAACCCCAAAAAACTTTTACATGTGAAAAGTCCCAAGCTTTGAATTCTGGCAGATTTTAGGTGTATAATTTTAAATAAGATGACCCTGCATCTGTTTCCTCTAGGGATGCCATCCCAGTTGAAAGAGTTGATTAGCTTTTGTTGTGCTGATATTCATGATCACAGAAACTAGAAACGTAACTCCTAATGAGGTAGAAATGGTAGGAAGCCTGTTTATAAAATATCTTATGTCCCTCAGAGGATTGTTGAGAGACTCCAGAGCTCATGAAGACATTCTATATACTGTGAGGCTCAAAAAGATATACAGTTTACTGATTAATAAGAGCCCATTTTGTGATTTTCCTTCTGCCTCTCAACTTTGGGCAGTCAGAAGGGCTGTTTGAGGTCAGATTGCTGAACACTTAGTGTTTTGTGAATGTCTCTCCCCTCCATATGAAGTTGCTTGCAAATAAATATGTAGTGGCTCTCAAAATGGTGTTTGGGAATACCCACATAAGAAAAATGCAGAATGGTTGTAAAAAAAAGAAATGGAGACCTCTTCAGACTTTGTGAATCAGAATGCTGGGAGATGGGACTCAGCATTCTGTATTTTCAACAAACTATCTAGTGGTTCTCAATTGGGGGTAATTTTGGACCCATCCCTGGGGGGCATTTGGCAGAGGGTAGGTATTACTGGCATGTTGTGAACAGAGACCAGGGATGTTACTAAACATCCAACAATGCACAGGACAGCCTTCCATGACAAAGAATTATCCAACTCAAAATGTCAATAATGCTGAGGTTGAGAAGTTTTGTTATACCCAACACAATTTAAAATCTACGTTTCTAGCAGGTATCATCTATATTTGGCAATTAGAATTATTTAACTTATGTATTCATCATTTGTTTATGTATTAAACAAATTTTTTTTTAATGTTTTACTTACTCTTGAGAGACAGAGAGCATGAGCGAGGGAGGGGCAGAGAGAGAGAGAGAGAGAGAGAGAGAGAGAGAGAGAGAGAGACAGAATCCAAAGCAGACTTCAGGCTCTGAGCTGTCAACACAGAGCCTGATGCGGGACTTGAACTCAGGAACCGTGAGATCATGACCTGAGCTAAAGTCAGATGCTTAACACTCAACCGACTGAGCCACCCAGGCACCCCATTTGTTTATGTATTTATTTTCAGAACTCTTTTTAAATGATCTTTACTGAAAAAGTAGAAAGATGTAGAATTTTAAATAAACTGTTGGGAGTGGGATTAATTAGTTTGGGCTCATTTCTGGGTTCTTTTAAAAAAAGTTTCCTTAAAATTTTTCCACTGCAAGAATAGTAATCAAGAGATTTTAAGCTAGTTAGTTCTTTGCACACATTGAAAAAATTTTTTTAATTT